TCGTTTACAATGTATGGAGCTCTGTCATGTTTTACATTTTCATCCAACAGGGATTGCGCTAATAGTTTTTATTCTTACAATTTAATTCGTCAAGTTATTCTCTTGACATATACTTACGCATAAGTTTGTCCACAAAGTTCATAACAAACTGTTTCAGAATAACTATAATCGGCACCATAATAATAAGTATTAAACATAATTTCCATCGGTAGAGGAATATTGTTAGTACATGATGTGTATGGAGATGATAATAAGAAAGTTGTCTTCTTTTTATATCCCAATTTATGTGACTTTCCTGGTGTCAATAGTACTCCAAATGAGTCAATCAGTGGCAATTGGGTATTATCATGTACCAGAGATACCATACCAGCGCCTGAATGAAAATTGAAAACAAAATGTCATTCGATGAATTTATCATATATTTACCTTTCCAGAAATAAGGAACATATTGATGACTATGCACATAAAATTCCAAATCGAGTACACCATTTCCACCATTGTGATTTACATATCGTACACTATTGTTACTATTACTTTTCATTTTAGCATTAAATGTGTAGCAACGACCATAAAATGCTGAGTTAAATGTAGTGAAGTTTTCTATTGAACACGGTAAATTATTGAATGTACATTTGTAGAGCATTGAAGAAAGTGAAAATAAATAAGAGTCCATTGATTCATTCTTATTTGTCTTATGTATTAGAAAATTCAAAATAGATGAAGCTAGATATGCAGGTATTGTACTTGTATTAGTTGAATTGATTAAATTCTGTTCATATGTATAGTTTAAAAATGGTCTAATGAACCGATCAAGATGAAATGGTGCACCATTACAAATACTCACTGCTGGAAAATATTGTGGCCATTCTGTAATTATATCTACATTTATCTGTGTTGGATAACCGAAATAGGATAAAATTGCTGTAGTCACAAAATAAATCATAACAGCAGTAAAACAAAGAAATGAAATTGACCAAAATATACGATTATGTATGCTTTCACTGCGAGCAATACCTGGAAGGCCATGTGTCGATGTATTCAAAGCAAATTCACGGATGATTGAACGACGACGATGCATTGTTTTTTCATCTTTGATCAATGTTGGTTTTGTTGGAAATACCATGGATACCATCGATGGATTTGAAACAAATGCAACGCGGGGCGTTCTATCCACTTTCGGCATTGTCTCTTTCTTCTTCGTCGATGGAAGTTGACTAAAAAGCATCATTGACAAAACAATTAATTCAATAAATTAAACTGAGAATTCAAATCTTCGCTTTTTTTGTGATTAAATCGTTCGGATTAATAATGTGTATTATTCAAAGGTATTAAGTAGAAGTGACACTTTGACTTTTTTTATTTGTCTTTCGGGAAAAAGAATGGAAAAGAAAGTTGTTCGGTTAGATGGATCTCGGGTTGTTGAAAAGCTTTTGTGCCTATATCATCTGTATATAAGATCAAGTTCTAAAAAATATCAGTTTAATATTCTTCGATCACTTTCTTTGCTGTCTTCCTTGATATATGATTCCTTCTCAAGTTCTTCCTTGAATACCCAAATAAAGGATCTAGATTTTCCTTATTTATTGTTGTCTCCTCTCACACAGTTCTATTCAGATTCAAAGCGAAATAGAAACCTAATGTGAAATTAAATCTAGATATGGAACAGGACCCGGCAGAAAAACAAAAACTGTGGAACGAAACCCGGAAGGACTCGCAGTTCTCTAGTGTAGATAGTTTCAAAAAAGAACTTCTCATACTGAATAGGTTCTCTCAAGACTAAGTAAAATTTCACTTCAAAAGTGTACACATCACCTGAAAATACTTCTTTGTAAGTTTGAGCTATCTCTCTTATCACAGATCGACACAAGAAGCTAGAATATATGGATAACCAATACTTGATAGCGCATGTATCACAAAAGTCTACCTTAACAAGTCATAGTCACTAGGAGACAAGCATTAAGTAATGATATACGACATTGATAAAATATGAAATGACATGTTACTATGTAAAATAATCAAACAAGAGAAATACCTCAACAATATTTCTTGCAATATTTTGATAAATAATAGGTGTTCGAGGTTAACTTTATTTGACTAAGAAAACATTAGCTGCAGTATTTACTTTTATTTCTTTCTTTCAGCATGATGAACAAAAAACGCCTCTCCATTAATAAAGACGAATGATGAAAATGAATTAATGGACACAAATAGTGCAAAAGCGACTCTAAAGCAATAATTTGTTTCCAACATATCGTTCAAACAACAATGACTTGCTCAATGTTTGTTCAGTATCGAATAAAATGAAATAAAAATAAAGAAAAAAAAAAGTAGGTTAGTGTCAGTAGTATGTAATGTAATCCATCCCTTAATGAGTCCTTGAAACGAAGAGAATGAAGAAAATAATAGTCAATTAAATTCAACAAATAGGTTTCTATGTAGTTCGCATCCAACTCGGAAAATATGATTTTCTTTTACTAAAAGAATAGAATTTCAAAGTAGAACATAATTCAAAATCTTTAGGTTCAGCTTGATGACAAAGATTTTTTGTAAACTTTTCTGCCGATGAGAACGAGTACTATCAACCAGGGAACGTCACAGGACTTGCTCTGTATTTTTGCAAGTTTGCCCTGCAATTCTTATCCCAATGCAGGAGCAGGACAATCTTTTTTTACATGAAGGACCTGCAGGGTGATTTATTAGTCCTGCAGGACGGACTTGAAAAGAAAGCACAGAAATAAATCAGCTGCACAAAAATTTTGAGATTCATAGCCATTTCTATAAAGTGATTAGGTATTGATTGTAGAGCGATGAGCAGTTATAACATAAAAACCTAATACAATCAATACTTAGGCGTAATTTCTGCTTTTGTCAATAGTGGCAAGAAGAATACATACTATACCAGCAATTAGTGCATCGGTGGAAAGGTTATTTAGTTCCACTAGATTAACAGTTACTCAAAGAAGAACACGCTTATAACCAAATCAAATTGATAATATATGATTTATTCGTTTGTACGAGAAATTCGAGAACAAGAAATTTTTAAGAAAGTTTTTTTTATTCCTCTGTCAATTTGGATCGCGTCGTGAACTTTGTATCTTGATGTTTCCTCTGTTATTCTTTTGTTGATCTTATGGATCTCTGTATTATTCTCTGTTCATTTCATTTCTGTTTCAAAACGTGTCTGGAGATTTTCTAATAAAATTATATTATAGGTTTCTTCATGTAAACAGCACTTTCATCTTTGATGTTGTATCTCATCTTCAGTATCAATAAGACTGTAAATCCTTTATCATTATGTTATCTTCTAATTCCTTTTTTTTCTTATGAATCTCTAGTACTTTTTGTTCATTTCATTTCATATCTACCAGAAAGCGTGTGATTAGACTAATTAACAGGATCATTATAAATGATTTTTATAAAAAGAGTACTTGTAGGATGCTTGACAGTATATCTCATATTTAGATAATATTTTACCTTTTGGAAGAATGTAATTAAAAAGTCGTCCTGCAGGCAGGACGCATGACGAATTTTTGTCCTGCAAGTGTGTCCTGTCAGGACGAAGGTTTTTATGTCCTGTAATCTGTCCTGAAAAGCAGGACAAGGTTTGGTAATGTCCTGCAAAAATGCAGCGTAGGACGAAAAAAGCCGCCCTGTGACGTTCTCTGCTATCAACCATGATTGCAATTTCATTCTGACTAAGATATACATGTAGAACACGAAGAGATGCTTCGAGTATTCGAGTAATCGCTTTATGTTTATAAGATAAAGATAAATAAATTCTTTATTTTTGAAAAAGTAAATTCCAGTTATCTTTATTTTATAAATATGAGAATTTCATATATATTTCTTCTTTATCATAAACAACAATTAAGATGAAACAACAACCCTAGTGTAAAAATCAAAATATTTCTTGCACTATCCATTAGCAGTTGATAGTTGACGAAGCGTTAATGAGAAAAGAATTTTGTCAGATGCCAATTCATGGTTAATTATTAGTGGATAGCTGATGTGACCACTTCACACTTAAATGACACAACATGCTGATTGTTTATTATGCAGAAAACAGCTTTCCAATGTATCACTTGTTGCATTACTGCCACGCTCGTTCACCATTCCTTTACAAAAAGCGTACAATAAATCACATTAGAAGCTGTTCATAGTTTACATAATTACGTTTTGCATTTTTGAGAAATCTCCAAACTTCCATCTCAATCTCGTTCTCCCTAAAATCATACAACAACACATGCACATATTTGTGAGTCTCTCGAGATTCAAAGAAAGAACAACAAGAAGAAGAAGCGCATACATATACGAGTAAACCCAATGCGCACACTAACTATAATCACTGAAGTGAACAGTACTCACACGGTGGTGAGCAATATATCGATTGATCATTCCTCTGACGACGTGTCGATACCCTTGTGCACACACACACACATATATATATCTGTTGATTGCTATTCATTCATTTTTTTGATAATATCTAGTACTTTGCTAAATATGAAGATATTCGTTTTGAAAGAATGAAAACAGAAAACGGCAAAAGAATTTATCTATAAATAATAATTTGATTCAAAATTTTTGATGCTTTCAATGAAATATATATATCCTTATAAACGCGTGTAATAAAGATAATAATAGTTTGGTTTGAAGTCTGCTTTAACTTTTTAATTATTGAAATGAAATTAGAAAATGTAAATTTTATTTGTCTGTATTAAAACAATTAATTGAATAATGTTGAATATCAAATTGTGTTATATCGCCTATGCTTTGTCATCGCCATATGCTTTCAAAACAAAAAATATTTATTGTACTAATATCTGATTAAATATCATTATATACTATCGATTTAATTGAGTTTTTACTTTTCTTTTTTTTAAATTTTGGAAATTTGATATATCATGGATTAAATATTTGTATAAGTACGCAATATTTTTTCTCAAGATACTTTTGAGGATACATAAATATTCCTATTTTTTTTTCCATTAGCACATACAAATATGCAATATAGACTTGTATTTCTTATTTTTCCTGTTGTGTTAACAATATCTGTTGTTTCTGGACAAATAAACAGTAAGTCATGAACAAGAAACAAGTATTATACATTTCTCCTTATGGAAGGACTCGCTAATCTTGAAAAATTTTTGTTTTTCTTAAGAGCGAAGCTTCAGTATTTTATTGTTTGTTTTGTTCATCAATATCCAAAAGTTAGTTGACTTCAGAAAAACCGAACCTACGAGAAAAAAAAGTTGTCCTACACAGAATCAAATCGACCATGAGAATACTAGTCGCCGACTAAATAAATAAAAAAAAACGAGTTTTGAAGAATTTTTATAGATTCAATACGAAGACGGGGCTAGTTTTCTCTAGATCGGAATACGAACCATACACGAGATAAAATGAAAACTTTTAAAAATCAGCTGATATTTTGATGATAATTTATATTTAGTCTGCAATCCAAATCCATGTTATAACTCTGGCCGATGTATATTAATTAATGGAAATACTGATTATTATTGTATATGTCCATCCAATCTTCCCCTCGGTGGTAAACGATGTGATATGCTGATTTCCGAAACAACAACGACAACAATGATGCCAAGTTAGATTTCAATCTACTCTCTTTATTGTTTAATAAAATTTTCTTATCTTTAGCTACATTATTTACACCATCACCATGTGCATCGAATCCATGTTATAACGGAGGTCTATGTAGTGTTTCTCCATTGACAAATACTTACGTTTGTTCATGTACTCAATTATATTATGGAAAACAATGTGAATGTATGATAAATAGAATAATTTTCATTAATATTTAGTTAATTTTGTTTCTCTTTTTTTTTATTAGTTTTGCATCAATGTTATTATCAACCATCCGTTTGTCAGAATGGTGGTACATGTTTACCTGGTATTAATGGTGCTTATTCATGTCAATGTCCATCGTCATATTCAGGAATTAACTGTGAACAATATATTCAACCAACAAGTATTTTAAATAATTATTTTTTATTTGATATTTTTTTTTTCTTTAAGCTATTTGCTCATCGATGCCATGTAAGAATGGTGCAACATGTTTATCTCTGAATGGTAATACAAATTATTATTGTCAATGTCCACAAGAATATACTGGACCTACATGTAGTATGTTATTAAGAAAAATAAAATAGATTCAATTAATTTCATAAGGAAAAGACACATGAAAATTTAATTTAGGTACAGTCGTTACAGTTTGTCCTGTTGATTATTGTAAAAATAATGGTCAATGTATATTTGATTATACACTTAATCGATTAAGATGTGCTTGTCCAAGTACATTTGGTGGTCAATATTGTGAAATTCCAATAGGTAAATAATAGCAACAAAAAAATTGATATTCGTATTTTATTTCTATTAAAGGTCAAGCAAATGCATGTGCAAGTTTTCCTTGTTATAATAATGGTAGTTGTACACCAGCTGGTGCTTCTTTTCTATGTACTTGTAAAGAACCATTCAGTGGTAATCAATGTCAATTTAAGAATAATAGTACGATAATAAATAGACTTTATTAGTTTTGATTCTAAAAGATAACTATTATTTAGCTACACTGTGTGCATCGTTACCTTGTAAAAATAATGGCGTGTGAGTAATTAATATTATAATGAAAATTTAGTTGAAATATTATTTTTAGTTGTGTGGATCTTGGTAATACCTTTCATTGTCGATGTTCATCAGGTTTTCAAGGAAAGACATGTGAAATACCTACGACTAGTTAGTAAATTTTATTGTTTTCATTTTTTTTTCTGTAATTTTCAAAGAAAAACAAATAATATTTTTAGCTAATTGTTATGGTAATAATCCGTGTATGAATGGTGGCATGTAAGATTATTAATGAATTTCTACTATTTTAATTTTATTTCATATATCATAGATGTGTTCCAAGTGGAAATGCGTATTATTGTAAGTGTCCATCAGGTTATACTGGATCACGATGTGAAGATCAAACAAGTATAAATTTCATGATGACCAAATCTTTGTTATTACTTTTTTATTTATTCAGCTTTACCAGATAGACCTTGTGGTATAAGTCCTGCTATATGTCAACAAGGCGGCACGTATATATTGATAATTTGAAAAAAGTTTGTTTTCTTTTTTGTTATCTCCGATTTTTTTTCAAAGATGCATCACAAATGGAACTTATATTCGATGTATTTGTCGACCGAGAACTGAAGGAGAATTCTGTGAAAGAAATAGTACAAGTAAATTAAATCTTTTTCATATATTGATGTCTAATCTAGTATCCGACTTTGGACAGACATTGATTCAGACCATTGTCGGATTGATCAGTTACAAAACACATACACTCACATCCTAGCCAATAATTTTCAGATGAATCTTCGATTGGACGTTTTGTAGCTGATTAATTTAAGAATGATCTGAATTAATGTTAGATATACATAAAGTGAAATCTTAGCTCTGTCTATACGGATTTGTGATTGAGCGCTATCATTGATATGTATTAAGGAATAATTCGTTGTATTTTCAATATTGTAGATCTTTGTCTACCTAATCCATGTTTCAATGGTGGAAGGCAAGTGATCTCAAAATAAATAATCAAACTATAACTTTAGATGACTTATATTTAGTTGTTATTTGACTCAAACAGCATTCAGTTGTCTTTGTCCACAACCATTTACGGGAAACAGATGTGAAACCTCTACAAATGGTATTTTTTTGTTTTGCAAGTTGAACTTGTCATTCTATTAAAATGATTTTTTTCTAATAGTAAATGCATGTACTGCTAATCCAAACTACTGTAAAAATAGTGGAACGTTAGTACAAATTCTAGGATAATTTATTTGTTTCATTGTTTTGATTTATTTAGTTGTATGGTACTTAATAATGCACTCTTCTGTATATGTCCATCACCTTTTACGGGACCAACTTGTCAACAAGTTATACAAAGTTAAAAATGAAATTTTTTTTTTGTTTTTTTAAACAATAAATTTATTTTATAGCTGAACCGAATTCCATTTGTAATATTATTCCGGGTAGATGTCAAAATGGTGGAACGTTAGTAGAAAGAAAATAATTTAAGACAATATGTTCATGTTTTTTTTTTCTCTTGATAGATGTGTACCAGTTGGAGTAAATGCATTTACTTGTCAATGTATGCCAGGATATACAGGATTAAGTTGTGAAACGTTTACTAATCGTAAAATGAAATTTTCATAGGTTTTTTCTTTTTTTAAATTAATTTCTCTTTTTATTTTATTAAGCAACAAGTAATTGTTTTAGTAATCCATCGGTTTGTGTAAATGGAGGCCAGTAAGTTTTATAAGAAAACAAATTGTTTCTAGATCAAATTTTGTGTTCTTTCAAATTATATTCTTAGAATTTTTCTATGAATCTTGAAAAGACTCAACAAATTTTTTCTTTGAAGAAAAAAAAAACTCAAATAGAACTTGTTTAAGACATGCTATGAAATTTTATCGGATATATTCGAAGATACAGAAAATAATTCTATACAAAACGGTAAAGTTTTTGCAAACTGTTAACGTCACAACTCTATTCGTTTATCATTTTCTCGAATAGAGATCACCTTCAATCTGTCAAGATTTAGTTATAGTTCGATAGTCCGTAGTCATCGAAAAATTCTAAGTATATATGTTAAAAGAACACGAAATTTTGATTCTCATAAATTACTTATTACGAAAAAATATAGTTAGAAACTTTTCAGCCCATCCGAGATTATTATTAGATTATTTATTTTGATTTATAAAGATGTCTTTTTGTTGGAAATTCATACCAATGCGTTTGTCCTAGTGGTTTTAATGGACCATTTTGTGAAACATCATGTATGTGTCTTTTTTTGTATTAAAATTCAATTGTTTTAATTTGTATTTTTTGCATTTAACAGCCTTATGTAATACATTAACATGTTCGAATGGTGGTACATGTGTGACAGTATCAGGTGGAACTGGTTGGATATGTATTTGTCCATCAGGATTTACAGGAGATCGATGTCAAAATATGAATAGTAGTAAGTTTGCTATACAAAGTTTACAATCAATTATAAAATAATTCTAAATAGTGTCTCAATGTTCTTTACAACCTTGTCGAAATGGGGCTACTTGTGTAGATGGTCCATTTACATATACTTGTAAATGTCCTTATCCATTCAGTGGACAACAATGTCAATACGTATCTACAGTTCAATGTAAGTTAATAATAAATTGAATCTTTTGTTTCTATTCTTGTTTTGTAAAAGTCACAGAAGATAATAGTGAGTATAAGTATTAAGTCAAAATTTTCCAGATGCCCTCCTTCACATCATTGACCTTGACCGCAGAGAATAAGAGGCATTAGAGTCTTATTACAAAGTTCTTTAACTGTAGGAAAAGGTGCTGAACGATATTCATGCAAAACTTCTAATTAAGTCATTTGTAAAAAACTTGAAACTTAAAAACATGTTCAATTTTCAAGACAAACACTAAAAATATTTTCTCAAATCCTCAGAATCATTTTGCTTTTCTAAAAAACACTTTGTAATTGAAAACAATGAAAATAAAATATGACATAATACGAGGTCGTAGGCCATTTCTTGCGAAGATACTATGATTTTTAAGCAAATAGATAGAAAATATAGAATAATAAATTATGTAGTTACAAAGAGTGCAGCTGTTAAAATATTGAACGACTGTTGACCTGTTTTTAATTAGCTATCAAATATTTGAAATATGAACTGATCGAATTCTAACTGTTTGTAAGCTTATCGCGATGTATAGTAGAGTGTTAAGACTTGATGTTTATGAGTTAAATCAATAGTTAGAATAATAATAATGTTAAATTAAGAAAAATGTAAAATAACAAGTAAACAACAACAAGGTCAATAAACAAAAGACAAAATTGTCTGTTCGAAATGCAGAAATAAACTTAATAAGATCGATTGTTTTCTCTGGGAGATTTTTTATATACCATGTATTTACTATTAGTATAATAAGGCTCAAGAACACATGTGAGTTTCATATTTCAGCCCTAAAAAGAATTACACTAATGAGTTTCTTTATTTTAATTTTAGCACCCTGTGATGGAAATCCATGTGTGAATTCTGGTAAATGTAATCGGGTTGGTGATACTTATACTTGTACATGTCCTCCGGGTTATACAGGACGAACATGTGAAATAAATGTTCGACCAGGTAAAATCTTTCAAGAAAAAAAAAACAAAGAAATTTATTCGTTTTTTTTTTCTTTTTAGCTACTTGTACCATCAATTGTTCACCAGGTTATTGTTTTTCAAATCCAAATACTCAACCACCATATGCTTGTTATTGTCCCGATGATACAGTTCAATTAAGATCATGTATTACTTAAATTTATTTTTAAGAAAATAAATAACAAATTAATTTATGATTATATATAACATTTTCAATTTTTTTTTGCATTTCTTATTGCCAATGACCTTGATTAAATGTTAGAGATAAGCTGTTCATTGAATAGATGCAACAAAACATTTTCCCCAGAGTTTTTTTTTTCTCTTGTTCTTTCTCGTTTGTTTCATAATCTATTATAATAACTACTACTACCCAGACAGGAAGACAGACAAGGTCGAATGTCTATTTCTGTCGTTATATAAAAAAAAACTGAAGAACGAGCAAGCGCGATAAACAATGCTTTTTTCTCTCTTTCTCTCTGTTGCTCTCGTTTTTTTTTTCTCAATGTCAAACTTTGTTTTCATCCGGAAAAGACAGTAAATGTATTTCATGCAGACGTAAACAGTACTCAAAATAATATAACCTTGAGTAAAGAATCAGTTTTCGATATCGACCCTGAATTGAAGGCAAAACTACTAAACAAATAAATATAAATCGACTTTTATTTTTTAATGATTTGCACTCGAATTTCAAAAAAACAAAGAAAAAAAAGATTATTTTACAAAAAAAAGAAGAAGAAAAAAAACGGAAAAGGCAACAAAACACACACTTATAGATAGGTAAAGAAAAAAAAAGACGAAATAGAACCTTAGAATGAGACAAATGCTGAAGCGAAATTAAAATGAATCAATAGTAGTAGCATTTTAGCCAAAAAAAAACACTTGGTGTACTTTCCTTTTTTTTTTTTAGTTTTTTTTTAGTATTAAATATTTGGTTAAAAACCTGAGTGGTTATGATTTATCTGCATACTGCTATTGTATATATATATTTTTTTTGAAAAAAAAAGAAGAAGAAAAAGAAACATTAATGAACTCTGTTCGTTTTTATTTTGTTATTATTAGAAGATAGTTTTTTAAATTTATTTATCCACAGTAGCCATTAGTAGCAGAGCAATAAAATCCTGAGGCATTTGTTTTTATTTTTGTTAAAACAAAAGAAGTAGAGGAAGAAGAAGAAAGTCAGTACTGTTCAACCTGAGAGAACAAATCCTGAGTAATATATATAATAAATGTGAAGTCCTTTTTTTTTTGTATATAGGTGATTCGGTAGATAGTTTTAGTAACTTGAAGCTATAGGAGAAAAAAAAAAAGAAAAATCTTTTTTTTGTTTATAGAAGCACAGTGTGCTCAGAAAAAAAGAAGAAAAAAAGGAGAATAATATAAATGAAAGATATTAGAAGAAGATACTTGACAGAAAACGACGATTATAAACAACAACAACAACAACAAAAAGATTGAATATATACACACGTATAAATACACTGTATTATTCCTGCTACTGTTTTAATTATGCCTCACTCATAGAATGAGTTAAAAAGAAAAAGATAACTCGTTTTATGTTTTCGAAGTTTTTGGAGACAAAGAGAGAGAGAGACAAAAAAAGAAAGATAGAGAGAAAAGAGACTGTTCTTTGTGCATTAAACTACCGGGTTGAACTGTGTGAATATATATATGTATGTATGTATATATATTAAAACATAGATAGATACCTGAGTGAAAGCCGTGAGAATGGAAACCGTATACATAATTAAAAGGCAAGAATACGATTATTACCGAAATCAACAACAAGAACAAGACCTTCAGGTGTAATACATAATCCACTTGGTCTATCCATTTGTAAAGGACCTGAACCTTGTGTACCAAATTTTGTTTTAAAAACACCTTGTGGTGAAAAAATTTGTACACGATAATTTCTTGAATCGGCAACTAATATATTTCCTTCAGCATCAATATCCACACCTTGTGGACGAAGAAATTGTCCATTAGCTGAACCTTCACTACCAAGAAAACGTGCATTTTGAAAATCTGATGATAAAAATAATAAACGATGATTATTAAAATCTGATACAATTATATGACCAGCATGTGTAAATACAACACCACGTGGTGAATCAAATTGTTTCCATACAGGACCATCAAAACCATATTTTCGTAAGAATAAACCATCTTTAGAAAATAATTGTATACGATGATTACGTGTATCAGATATTAATATTTGTGATGTTGATGATATAGCTACATCCCATGGATAATTAAATTGACCGGGTTTAGTACCTTTTTCACCAAATTTATATATATATTCTCCAATAGATGTAAAAATTTGTATACGATGATTATCTTTATCTGTAACAATAATACGATTTAATTGTTTATCAAATGCAACACCAGCTGGACGATCAAATTGTCCTGGACGATTTCCTTGTGTACCAAATTTTCTAAGAAATTGTCCATATTTATTAAATATTTGTATTCGATTATTTGATCGATCAGCAACAATTATATTTGATTGATTATCACAACAAACACCCCATGGTCGACATAATTTACCATCTTCATCACCTTCACCACCAATTTCAAATTCTAATTTTAAACCAATTGTTGTATAATTACGATTTTGTTTTATTTCAATACGAAATGGATTATCTTTTATTGGTGAATTATTTACATAAACATTTAATATATGTAAATTATCACTTTGTGCTATATATGTTATAAAATATTGTCCATTTTGACGATCATATATTTCACATGGTACTGTTTGATTATTACCTGTATCAATTAAACAACATTGAATATTATCACCACCTGTTGTACGTAATTCACCTAAATGATTACGTGTTTGTAAATTTAATACATTTAAACGATTTCGTATTGCATTATAAAGTGAATCACCATATAATTCACATAATGATGGATAAGTTGATGTTATTAATTGACCATAATTTATTAAAGATTTATTTATTGTTGATGATGAACCTTGAAATTGTATATAATCATCTTCAAGTGGTTTAAGATATAATAATAATGTTTGTTTCATTTTAATTATTTCATTCCAAAGACGATTACGTGTACGAATAAGATCAGCATCGTTACCATTTTTTAAACATTCATTACAATCTAATAGATACGAAAACAAAAAAAAAACAAAACAAAACATAGGAAAAACATTCTATGTTTAATATAGATTAGAGATGTCCATTGTGGCTGGAAATCTCCCGTCGTCCTAGAAGACTCAAGGCTGTCTCGACGCGATTCTAGGAGAGAGAGCTAAGGCTATCGCGACATAATCCTAGAAGTGTCAAGGCCACTTTGCCATTGTCGCGACATGATCCTAGAACAGTCAAGACTACAACATCACCGTGCTAGATTAGCAAAATGAGATTGAATTCATTAGATTCATCGCAATTCTGTTATATCACACTGTTGCCATGTATATTTTTGATACGGATAAACAATTTCTAAGTTTATTATTGTTTCTTAACTTACCAACTATAGTTAAATGTAATTGTTTAATAACTTGATTAATTTCATTGATTTGTTTTTGAAGAGTTTGTGTTTTAATTGTTTGTATTTTATCAATATTTTTTAATAAAAAATCTTGTCGTTGTGAAAGTATATCAAGAAAATATTTAATCATTGTACGTATTTCATTTTCAATAGTTGAACTTTTTATTGAAATATTTTCAATTGTACGTGTTGATTGTTTTAATGATTCATCTAAATGATATAATAATGTTTGGGATTCAATTAAAAATTGTTTTGTTAATTGTCGTGCACTATCAATTGTATCTTGTAATGATGATAGACTATGTTGTTGAGCATGATGTATTTGACATTCATGACAATATGCATGTGAACATATATCACAATAATAGGATGCTTTTAAATTTGAATGTTCATGACAAAAAATTGTTGTTGATGAAGATAAAGAATTATTATTCATTATTAAATTTTCATTATTTGTATTATTTAATGAAAGTTGTGAAAAAACTGAACCAAATAATGATGAAAAATCATTTGAAGAATTATTTGATAATGATGAACGATTTAAAGAAAAATCTAATGAAGACGGTTGTTGTGATAGACGAACTACAAAAAAAAAAAGAAAAATGATTTGTTAAGATTAATAATAATTCAAAAAAAAACGAAAACAAAACTTACCTGTATTTGATAATAATGATTGTTGTCCAATCATAGATCGATTATTATTAAATTGTGATGTTAATAATTGTTGTCGATGATCTTTAAAACTAAGAATTTTTGGATGTGTTAATGCACATTTTTCACATAAAGATATTTCACAATCAAGACAATATGTATATGGTGGATTATTAGCAAAACAACAAAATGATGATGGACGATCATTTGTTGATAAACGATTTAATGATGATGAAGATATTGCTGATTGTTGACGAGAAAATAATGTTTGAGATAAATCATTACTTTGAATACTACTTGCTGGACTATCACGATCACTATTATGATTATTTCCATTAAGAAAATTAGGAAAAAAACGCATAAAATCATTTGATGTTGTTGTTGTTGTTGTTGGTATTGTTAAATCAAAATCAGTTTTAAAATTTGTTGATATTAATGGTGAATATGTATTATTTAAATCCGTTAATGGATGATGTATGGGATTTTGAGAAATATTACCGGATATAAATGGATCAAATGCACTTAAACGACGATTTGATGATACAGATGATGATGTTGATGATGCTGATGAAGAAGGTAATGATGAAAAATGTGGTTGAAATATTGATTGAGCTTGTTGTTGTTGTTGTTGTTGCTGTTGATTATTTAATATTGATTGTGTGGGAGGTAAAAGTGGAAATTTATTGTTTATATCAGAAGAAAAACGTTGTTGATCAACAAATTCTGTCATACAATTCGAGCAGAGTTTTGATAAGGGATTATTTGATGAAGATGCCATAACAATAGGCATTTCTTTAAGACACGATGAACATACGCCACCGGTATTACCACTGTTCATATTGCTAGTTTCATTCATGATTTCGTTTTATTTTAGTTTTGGTTTTTTTTTTTTTATTCGCCCTGTTTTATAGAGGCCTTTCGAGCCAATTGGCCAAAATTGAAATCATATGTAACGACACATGTTTGAAACCTACTTTCATTTTCACTCTCATCTAACTGTCAGTCGATGATGGAACCCGACAACAATCTACAATGTTAAAGAAAAAAAGTAAACGAAGAAATTTATATAGTACTATAACTTTCAATATATAAAAATCTCCTATTTCATACATATTGACTACTGATAAGCATTTTATGTCGATTTGAACAGTGCAAAAAAACGAAAGAATGTAAAGAAGAAAAAAGAGAATATACTATTGTGAAGTTTCACACGAATCAAGTCAAGGTGAATACATCTATCGGCAAAGGTCAATAACCACTCGTAATAATAAAAAACTGAGATTTTTCTTTTTTTTTTTTTAATTAACTCATCCTTACTTAACTTACCATCATTACACTATTTATACTTAGCAAATATGCGTATGCATGAATATACCTTGTCAAGGAATCGATTCCGAAGTATGTGAAGGTGTTTTTCGTTCGCTCTCTCATTACTTTATTATACATGTTGTTTGATGCAATGATGTCTCTGTCGACTAGTGAAGTAGGCCAGGAAGAAAAAAAAAAAAGAACGCCATCAATGATGACAATGAGAAATAAGAGTACTACGAATAAGTATATTAAGCAAGAAGAAAGTAAAGCAAAAAAATGACCCTAAAAATCTTGCAAAAAAAAAAAAAAAACGAGAGATTTTTTTTTTTGCTTTCTTCTTGTGCATCTTAGGTTTTTTTTCTTCTATGAATAAACGAATAAAGTTTGGTCTCTGCTTCTCTCATTTTTTTTTCTCTCTATCTCTCGTTTTTCTATCGACAAACGCATGTGTATGTGTGTGCAAGTTTCTAGTGGTTTATGCTTTACATACGACTGTCGCGAATTTTTTCTCTTTTTTGTTCTGTTCTATATAAGTGTGAAGGAAAGAGAATAGCCTGTTCTCTTACATAAGACATGTAATATATTCTCCTTGTTCCTTTTCTTCACCATTGCGGTACCATCAACGTATAAGCTTGTACGTTTTTCTTTTCTCTTTCTCCTTGAACATCAACCAATGTAATGCAAAAGGAGAAAGAAACAGCAAGCTGTTGATCCCCTAATTTTTTGACAGACTCGAAGGAGAAGAAAAAAAAAAAGAAGAACGATAGAAAGAGGAGGGGAAAAAAATTTTTTTTTTTTTCTAAATGTCCTAAGACATATGGCAAGCAAATATGAAAGAGACGACGTATTCATGCCCTCGATTGTGGGTAGACAAAGAACGAATGAACAAGATAAATGTATATGAGAAAGCAGAAAACCTTGGCCAGTGTGTCTCTCGTTCTCTACATAACTTACTTGATTCTCATATAATAGTAACAATACTAATAAATTAAAAGAGAAAAAAAGAAAAGGCGAATCATGTTAACCCGCCGGGGACTATGTGACCTCTAGATTCTTATATCATTATATGAAAAAAAAAAAAAAGAAAGATGTCTGTTTACATTATCATAGATATAAAGAAAGACAATGATTGATATATGACGTTCAAGTAAATCCTTGCCTCCAGTTCAATGCATCCTTTATAAAAGAAAGAAGAAAAAAAAAACGAAACAGTCATAGTATAAATTATAACCTTCTTTCATTGTTCTTCTTATACATTAATCGATTATTGCTTAACAAAAGAAAATCCCACTGGTCTACTTTTCGTTCTATGTTGAAGGCTTTCATCATCATCATCATCATCATCCGGCACTGATTATAAATAGTGATGACAGGCAGATAATAGAAGCATTAATGAGCCGATGAAAAATATCGGGTTAATTACATGCAAAAGTATCATGTTTTCTTTTGTTCTAAATTTTTTTTTTTAATTTAAGTGTTGCTAAATATGTAGACATCAAATGAATGGTTATTATAAAAAGAAAAAAAAAAACAAAACAAGAAAAACAAAAAAAAAAAAAACAAAAACAACACGAAATTTCGATCATCTTTTGTCTATTTTTTAAATTAAAATAGACATCACGAAATTTCAATGAATATCGATAATAACCATAATACATATTGAAAAATCATACAATATATATGTATATATAGAGAGAGAGAAAGAAAAAGAAACCTTAAAACTATAAATACAATCTTTTATAGGAATGTTTGTCAAAATCATTTTATAAATAGTTCGACATGAATAATAATCACATATGTTAAAAATGACTAAGAAAGACAGACTAGGAGCATAATAAAAAAAAACAGGAACAAATTATGATCAGTAGATAAACAAAACATATCAATTTTGTTGTTTTTTTTTTTATCACAAATATATCAGTTGGAATAATTATAAATCATGTAAAAAATTTGGTATATTATTTGATATGGAAGGTTTAACAATATCATTTTCACGACAAAAAAATGATCGAGGTATAAAATAATCCAATGGACCATTCTAAATAAACATTTTTGATTTTGTTCGTATAAAATTTATTTTATATTTGATCTTAAAAAAATTTTACTTACTACTGAACGTGGACAATTTTGTCGAGCATACCATTCAATTGAATATAAACACATTTGCATACCAAGTCCAACAAATAATGATGCCCATATAAAAACATTAAATGCATTGTTTTGTGTACGTTGAGGTAAAATAAGCATTGAAATAACTTTTTTTTAGAAAAAATGATAAGAATTCGGTGTTTTTTTTTGTTATGCAAAAATATTCGAAAATACTTACATCCAAGAATAGCAAATTGAATAAAAAGTATAGGATAAAAATAACCAAATGCTAATGATATAATATATTCATGAACACATGCACTAAGAAAAATAACTGCATACATTGAAACCAATCGATATTTAACACCAAGTAACTATTTATATGATATAATGTAAAGAAAAAATCAAGTTTATTTGTTTATAATTATTACTTTATGACAATCACGATAAACATATGTATAAAGCCAATCATGAACAACCTAAATAATGATAATTAAAAGAAATTCTTTTTTCGTAAAGAAAATTTTAACTAACAATATTCCATGTTCGATAATAACTACTCCATGATGTTGCTGTCCACCAATCCTAAAATAATATTAAATTATAAATTAATACAATAAAATCAATTTGTTATATACACTATAGAATTGTCGATCAGCAAAACGAAGCATTTCAGCAAATGCATTCAACCAACAATGAAGAAAACCATAAAATGCTAGAAAAGAAAAAGATGTAGTATTTATTCATAATACAAGTTTTTTTGTATTCCTACTCATATTCTCAGTAAATCTAATCTAATTCTGAAGGTATCGAATGATATATAAGAAAATAAATTTTATGAAAATATCCTAAGAGTTCGTCTATTGATTATAATCCTTGAGAAGTTATAGATAATTTTATGCTATTCGATACAGTTATAGGTCACTTCTGAACTACATGATATTCTAATGTATTAAACTCTGTATCAGAGAAACAAGTGAATCTTCTTAGAAAGTACAGTCTATCGGGCTTTATATCTTTTAGATATAACATCTTTCTGAACAGCAGGAACGCATTGTCAATAAGTAAGATTGTTTCCTAGATTAGCTTATTTTGTTGTATGCAGGAGGCTACATGAATAACACTTTTATATATGGAAAAAAATTTTTTTGACTCCTGGATCCCTGCAGGAGTTTACGGATATGGTGTTGCAGGAAGAAAGCCTCTTAGTTTTATTATTTCTTTTTCAAATTTTTATTCTAAATATCTAGATTAAATTTATGCATTATCTTTCGACTTTCTTATTGTATTTCTGAAGGATTATGTCAACGGATGTTGAAGAAATTCATCCCAATATAGACAGAATACACTATGATTAGTACTAGCGCATGCGCATCGTATGTTTCACATTTTTATCTCATAGGAATTTCGCTAAGAGCAACTTTCAAAAAAAAAAACAGGAATGAGCTTCCTAAAGAGATAAGAATTAACTTACTACAAAATAGAAGTAGTGCACCTGGTAAAGTACAATTAAGAATTGAGAGAACAAATATTTTTAATGTAACATGTTCAGAATTAAAATGACGAAATACAGGTAAACAAAATCGATAAAATAAATAATATGCAAATAAAGATGTTGTTGCAAATTGTACTAATTGTGAAATAACAAATTTCCATCGTACAGATGATGTTCTTGGATATGAATCACGATAAATAAGTGTTGGAGCAAATAGAAAATAAAGAAATTTAGAAAATTCTGGACATGGTGTATGTGGTATAAAAGAATTTTTTTGTTCATTTAGTGAATCATTTGATTTATTTTCAATAATATCTTCTACTTTAACTATTTATAAGTAAAATATTAATATTAAGAAAAATGAAAATTTTTTTAATAACTAACTTCGTTGGGAATAAATTTGACCATAAAGTATAGCATGTGGTGCATTTTCTCGTACAAATGCATGAGATTTCATAAGAAATCGAACCTAGAAAACAACATAATAAAAAGTAATTGTAGAGATACGTTGCTTTTTAAAAAAAAAAAGTGTTTTTTGAATAAAAGTATTTTCAAACGAGTTAAAGTCTATGAGACTGAAAATTTCATCTAATCATTTTTTTTTGTAAAAGAGCTTTTTCGAATTCATGAAAGTGAAAATAAATGTTTACGTATAAGTGTCTTTGTAAATATTGATTTAGAGAAGACTTACATACTTTCATTTATATAGTTTCTATTCAACTGTGATGCATACATCGAAAAATCAGTAACTTATTTAAGTACAAAATTATAGAAGAGATCGCTCTTTCAGATATTTTAAATTTGAAAGGAAAAAAAAGAAGCAGATTTTATCAAAAGAAAATATATAATATAGTAGTATCTGAAAAAAATATATCATTGTATATTTACTTGTTCTATAAGAATAATCATTCGTGTAACAATTGGATAATTTTCTTCAAGAATAATATGTACTGGAATATATAAAAATAATCCAAAATAACAACAATATGCAGATAACCAAAGCCAATCAAAAATCACTAAAAATAATAATAAAATTCATATGAAATTAAATAAAAATCTATTCTTCTTACTTAAACTAGTCGTTTTTTTCTTAAATTCATCTGTATCTATTGATGAATTAATTGACATTAAAGAAAGACGTTTATATGCCCAAAAATGAAAACAATAATAAACAATAGCACATGTTGACATAAAAAGAAAAAACCATAAACGTAAACATGCTGATAAATTTGAAAAATTCCATCGAATAACATCAAATTGAAAATCAACTCTAACATATAATAATAAAAACTATTATCATTAACTAAAAAAAAAATCATTTCGACATACCTGCCCTTTTCAAATAGATCAGTAATTGCAACTTGTAAAACAAGTAAAACAAGTATAGAAACAAATATCTGTCGTATTGAACGTATATGTGATACTTCAAGTAATTCTGTAAGTATAGATGAACGCATACGAAAGATTTTTGTTGGAAATGCTGATGATTTTCTATTATAAACATATTGAAAAATAAAAAAGAAAATTTTTTTTGTTTTCGTTTTTCAAACTTTTTTATATCAACACTTTGTTTTGATGCTATTGTTTGTGAGGATTCTTCCTTTGCTACTTTATTTATTGATACTAAATCACTATGAGATACAATAGGTTGTTGAATAATTTCATTAATTGATGGCATTTTTGATGCTTGTTTTATTTCTGATGAAAATTCTTCAAAACGATTTGTTACATAATTAAGCATTTCAGAACGAAGTCGCTAATTATTGAAAATAACGAGAAATTTTTGTTTTTTTTTAATGTTTTATTTATGAAAACATACTTCAGCTGCATTTTGAATTTTTACTGTTCGATCAACACGATTAAATTCAGCACTTGCCGATCGTTCTATAAGTAAAACAAAAAAAAAGGTTATAGAATAAAAAAATAACACTATAACTTAAACTAACCATGACCACGTCTTTCATTTGAACTCATTATTGATATAAATAATAGAAATATATCGAACAATAATTTTTGATTGACAATCTAGAGTGTTCAATTTACACTTAAAAATTTCATAAAAATATAAAAAATAATAAAAGTAAATATAAATATGTCCTTTCTGTTGTTATCTATTGATAAGCTAAAATGAAAAACTCAATGAAATAAAAGCAAAAAAAAAAAAGCTTCACTCAGATAATAATTAGCCTATGTGATACCTATGCGAACTATCATAACATAGAATATGTCACAATTATATACTTAAAATTTTAGTGCGTTATAATACACTTAACGTATGAAATACTCAGTCCTTGTTTCGAATGTCGAATAATAATAATTCACTATAAGTAGTTTATCGTTTGATATACACTAACAATAAGAAAAATGTTATCGTCACTCGACCTCTTTCTCTCATTTATATAATTTATGTGTGCGTAGAGGACAATTTAAAGAAACGAAAAAAAAAAAAAAAGAAAGGGAGGAAACATCACGTCATCATTAGATATGACTTTTCTTTAGAACTATATTTGTAAAATAAACAATTTATTAATCATACATATTAACAAATACACCTATATATCTACATCAATAACTTATTTCAATAGAGAATTGACGTAAATGAAACACATATTTGTATTTTTCTTATTGACTGAACTGTTTTTCTTTCTTTTACACATTCAAACATTCTCGATAACGAGTTTTATATGAAATCTCATTCTTTTTTTTTTCACACTTTTCAAAACTTATCAACATCTCAGGTGAAATGATTAAATAGTAAGAAGAGAATGGTACGATTCAATATAAAAATCAAAATGACTCATTACTAAATTCTATTGGTACGCATATTTACACCAATGAAATATTCTGTTACCAAATGCTCCATATATAAATATAGAGATATTTATCAATAATTTAAATAGTTTAAATTTTTTCAGAGATAATCAATAAATATTATCTAAGTTTAATCATGTACATTAGTGACCCCTACAATAAAAATTTACAAGTAAAATAATTCTAAAATTTAATAAAATCATTTAAAATGAAATGAAATTATTCTAATATAAATTATTTCTTAATTATCAAATTATAATTACTATCTAATTCATTGACATTCATTTCTAATTTTGAAATGATCCTCCTTTTTGACGCTGCACTATCCGTCATGATGTCTCCATTTTCTTGTATTTATTTTCTTTTTTTTTTAGTTTAATACCCTCGAATTAACAACATCTATATCTATATTTTATTTCTATTGATTCTAGAAAGATCTATCGTCTTGTTTCACATGTTAATCGAACTATCCAAGTGAACATATATTTACAACCCTAGACGAACGTTAATATTTACATTTTCTTCTTTTTCTTTTGGTTTAAACTAAATGTGACTATATTTGGCCAGTATATATATATCTGTTTGTCGCCATCATTTAATCGAAATCGTTATATAAACAAAATAAAATAAAAAAAGAGAGAAAATAAAATCTATAAGATTATCGTCACTTTTCATCATCGATAGCCGAAGAAAGTATCAAAATGAGCTTAGCTAATAATTCATCTGTAAAAAAGCCAACATCAACTGGTACAACCGATTCACCATATCTTGGCTCGAAAATTAGTCTTGTTTCAAAAGCTAAAATTCGTTATGAAGGTATTCTATATACTATCGATGCTAACGAATCAACTGTAGCACTATCAAAAGGTAAATATTTTGCAAAAGAAAAAAACAACAACAACAACAATATTATTTTTATATTTTAGTGCGTTCTTTTGGCACAGAAGATCGTCCGACTGATCGACCTGTACCAGCTCGTGATGAAATTTTTGAATATATTATTTTTCGCGGTGCTGATATTGAAGATTTACAAGTTCGTGAACCACCGCAAAATACACTTACACAAGATCCAGCTATTGTTGAAGTAAATTTAATCATCTATATATTTCATTTAATAAAATCACTTTATTTTATTATAGTCATCAATGTATCCTGCTAGTGCTCGTTCCACTACAACTGGAACAAGTAATAATCTTGGAGGTAATCAAGCACGTTCATCATCAAATCAAGGTACAATGCCATCACCACCTGTTCAACAAGGTCTTAATAAAGGATCAAAAATATCATCAATTACAGATCCATTACGTCAGTTAAATTTAAATCAACAACAATCATCAAGACCATTTAGTCAATCAACATCAGCACAACTTGAAGGACAAGTTTTTTCACATAATAATAATTATAATAATAATCATCAACGACGTGGTCGTCAACAACAAGATTATAACAATGATTTTAATAATAATACTAACAATCGACGAGGTAATCAAAAATATGGTTATGGTGAATGGCCTCGTACAAATAATTCTGGTTGGGACAACAACTATCGTCAACAACAACAATCACAAAGATATCCTCGACAACAACAACAACAACAACAAAATTATGAAGGAAATCGTTTTTATCCATCAAGACGTAAGCTTTTATATATCTTTCATTAAAATCTATTCGTTATATATATATTTTTTTTTTACCTTTCATATCAAAAGGTATAAATAATCATAATAATAATAATAATCAGCAAACTAATGGTTATTATGGTTATCGTGAACGACGTAATTCAACAGGTGGTATAACAGGTAATCAACAACGAAATAATCGTCAACAACGTGAACGTGCTAATTCAATACGTGGTAATAGTAATAGTCGATCAACATTAAAATTTGTTGGTGATTTTGATTTTGAAAAATCAAATGCTGAATTTGATAAAAATGCTATTGAAGATGAAATTAAAAAAAGTTTATCAATTAAAACAACTAAAGATAGAGATGATAATACAGAAAAAGAAAAAGAAAAAGAAAATGAACAACAATCACAACAACAACAACAACAACAAATAAATTCATCAACAATTAAATTAGAACAACCACAACAACAACAACAAGATACACATCCAGAAGGTTATTATGATAAACAAAAAAGTTTCTTTGATCGAATCTCATGTGAAACAACAGAAAAAGAAAAAACGTATGTTGAACAAAAAAAAAAAAAAAACAGAAAGTAAAATTTTTTTTTGTTTCTAGTACTCCACGTCGTAATTGGAATGAAGAACGTCGTATTAATGCTGAAACATTTGGTTTAAAATATCGTCCTGTACAACAAGGTAATAATCAACGTAATGGACAAGGTGGTTATTATAATAATAATCGACGATATAATGCTGGTCAACAATCATATTATGGTAATGGTGCTCGTTATCAACGTGGTGGTGGTGGTGGTGGTGGAGGAGGAGGAAATTATGGAGGTGGTCAACAACGTGGCCGCAATCCAACATATTATGGTAATACAAACAAACGAATGCAAGCCTATTAAAAGCATAACAAAACCAATAACAGCGGCTCTATTTGTGTGTGTGTGTGTATGTTAAAGCGAGTACATAGCAGTCATTTGGTATAACCGTTCTTTTCTGTTTTTTTTTTCTTTGTCTTTCGTTTGTTCGTATAAGCCGTCATTTCTTATATCTATATCCTCTTGAACATTTTACTTTTTCTTTTGCTGATTTTTGACTGTCGTTCTCGTGCTGTTTTCTCTCTTTCTCGCTTTTTTTTTATTTAACATAAACTTATAACAAATTATCATATGTTGAGAAGAAAGAACAACTGAAAATTATTATAGAAAAAAAAAAAAACAATACATATTGAGGCATGATTTAAATATATATGTAGATTTTTTTATTTGTATCAAACAGAAACTAAGTTTTTTTTGTGGGTTATAAACAAATAAAAAATGATGCAAAAGATTGATATAAGAATGAATAAACAATTTTAGGATTTGACAATATATTTTGTTTGCTTCTTTTTTTGGAATAAGTTAGTCTTACATATCAATGTGAAATATTACCAATCAGATTGTGTTGACCAGTTTAAATATGAGTACGAAACCGAAGCTACGAGAAAAAAAAAGTTATCCCAGTCAAAATTAAACCATCATTGTTTATTTAATCTGTTGCATACAACATATCCTAATGCTAAGAAGTAAAGGAAGGCTACAGCAAACTTTTTCATATGGTATCTGACAATAAGGGATACATAACAACATTTGTCCTTTTATTTAAGCTAGTTTTCCTTATGTGTATGATTTCTTGACAAAAATTTTTTTTTTGTAATTTATGCTAGTCATTCAGAGTTTCTGACAATCAGTTCAGAAATTTTGGGAGAGATAAGTTCTAGTATAGACAAAGTTTATGTTCTTAATTGATGGGTAACTTCTCTTGACCATCATCCATATAGCGATCAGAAATTTATCGACTTGAGGTTTTGAATCTGTTCTTGTCAAATATTCAAACTATGAAAATGAATAAAAACCGAACCGATTTGATGTCAGCTAACAATATGAAGAACAATAATAGGAGAAAAGCTTATCGACTTATTAACGAGTAGTTTTATGAAAAAATTAAATTCTTGTATCTACAGCAGAGTTTATAAAATGTTTAAAATTGGAAGCTGTTTCAACTTTTATAGTAGTTCTCTATTGTGAATACATACATATGGATAAAATAGTTCTAATTTGATGTCTCTTGTTTGTCAATTGATCATATTCAAGATTTCTTTCTTTTTTTTAAATCAGTCATCAAGAGTCTATCACTAAATAATTGCGTCAAAATAAAAGAAAGCAACACCTCTCTCATCCTCAATTCATTTAATACAATTAACATTAAAACACTAACAATCAAGCCGCTATTCTAAGCTATTAATTATGTATCTAATGTCATAGGATAAAAAGCAATTTTCTTTTTCTGTTTTTTTTTGGCAATATTGAAACAAACATATACATACAATTGCTTTTCAATGATTTCACACATGAATGCAAATAAAACATTAACAGGTTATCAAATAATATTTATGTATCACTATTTTTTAAATGAGATCAAATCTACACTTCATTTAAAAATATTATTATTATTATTATTATTTTCTTGTCACAAAGAAATAGTAGACTAAAAGAAAATAAAAAATCGATGATTGATCTTTAATTTTTAACAGTCAATGCGGCACCCTTGAAATGCGAATGATCCGCTCGTGAAAATAGAGATGGTGTGAATATAAAAACAAACATCATTCAATCAATTGTTTTTTTTTCAAAGAAGATTAATTCTCATTTTTCTTCTTCGTCTTCTTCTCTATCGAATAAAATATTTTATCCAATCAAAAAAACAAAAATCTTCTTTCTCTTTCTCTTCGTTCATCATATAATATAAACTTCATGTCTGTTTTCTTCATTCATTTCTCAATTGATCATGTCAAAAAATTTTTTTATTGATGCTCTACTTAATAGTAATCATAATAATCAAAAACGTTCATCATTATATATAAATTCATATCTACATGAACAAAGTTTAAATTCAGGTAAATATTGTATTATTAGTATCTTCATTTTTTTTTTGATGAATTAAATTTTTTAGATAGTTTAAATTGTCCAACGACAAGTGATGATAGTGATGAAGATGATAATTTATCATTAAATAAAAGTTCCACAACAACAACAACAACAACCGCACGTCGTAAACGAACAGCTTTTACAAATGAACAATTAATTGAATTAGAAGCTGAATTTCAACAAAAAAAATATTTATCACTTAATGAACGTTCACAAATAGCACAAACATTAAATTTAAGTGAAATACAAGTGAAAATATGGTGGCAAAATCGTCGAGCAAAATGGAAACGTATTAAAACAGGACAATTAAGACAATTTTCAACAAGTTGTCAAACAAATAATAAAATTTGTTGTCCTATACCAGTACATATTAAAAAAGATTTTTCATCGTGATTTAATTTTGGACGGTTTTTTTTTTCTTGTTGTTCTTGTCTGTTGTTTTCTGTATAAAAATCAAATCTTTAAATTAAAAGGGTGTAGATTTAATCATTTGTATTGCAAAACAATAGAATCATTTCATCAAAGGTAGACTATCTGATCTCTTTAATGAGTTAAAGTTTATAGGGGGTATAACAAAAATATGATATTCCCACTCAAGAGATTGATGTTATATTACTGATATCATCATAGGGAGTCAAATACATCAGATAGTTTATTCCTGCTGAGAATTTGAAATCAGCTAAAAGATAAGATCGTGGATGAGCTGTATATGACTTTGTGTAACAAGTCTTTTCAATGCATTATTTAGCACTGGTTAAGCAGGTATTTCACTGTTTCGTCATCAAATTATTAACAAAAAACATCATTTCACATAAGTGGTCCCGGATGGACTCTAACGTCTAATATCTTCAAAGATTGATGTAAGCATAACTTTAGGAAATGTGCAAAATATTAATTATTTTCTCTATGTCAGTCTGTCTACATGATGACACTTGGTTGAGTATACAGTTTTCTTATTAAACGGTCGAACACTTTCTCAATGAAAAGGAAGCATCAGCTTGAATATTTAGGCTATACACAGTGAAACAGCTGTATAAGCTATGTCTAAAAATTATCGATTTCCATCCCTAATTCATCTTGATCCATTTTTCAACGCTAGAATTCGAACAGATAAGGTCATTTTTTTCTGATCCACAGCGGCTAATATTTAAAAGAAGAAAACGAAAAATTGTCACGCAATACAATTCTCTTTTGTTTGTTAAATTGTGAACATGTGCAATTGACTTAGAATGATTTAAGAGAGAAAGTGATAGATCAACCATTTTCATGGGGAAATGAAATTATTGTTTAATGTATAGTGCAATTCCCATAAGCAATTATCTCTTGACGTTTTTCATCGTCATATATTTTCTTTAAAAAAAAAAAAGAATAGCACATAAAAGATTTGATCTTATATCATAACAACAACAAGAAAAAAAACAAATGTTGCTAATCGTATTTCAAAAAAAAAAATAAATTGTGAGTAAATTAGAAGCATCTTTGGCAGGTCACTTATCACTTTAATGTTATGTATGCATTTTTTTGATGATAGATTGACTTTATTGCTCAATTGTTGACGCATTTATAATGACAAGTCATTATGAATGAATGACTATTACTGTTAATGATAGGCGTTTGTTTTTTTTTGTTTTTAATAAAATGCGATCAAAAGTATGATTTACTATTTGAATTTTTTCTTCGTGCAATGCATCATTGAACATAAAAAAATTCGAGATATCGATTAACTTTTTTCGGAAGATAAAATATCGTTTTCTCTAGTGACTTTTTTCTTTTTTATGCTACTAAGTTCCTATAAGAATCATTATAGAAGATAATCGATATATATATACATATGTGATCTTAAATAGCGGCATTAATCAGATACGAATCATTGATTACTAGTGAGTTTTGATATCGATCTTTTTTATATGTAAAATAGGCAAGACGTTTTTTTTTGTCGAGACATTTATCAATCAATGATTGATTATATTTTAATGGACTCGAGCATAAAAAAAAAGAATCAAGCGAATAATTTGAAGTTTATGGCGAATTTTTACATTAATTTTGTTTTTTTTTTCAACACAGATTTTCCTAAGCACACCTAAAATTAAAGTCTCTTTAATGTTCAGTTTCTATAGGATCTAGTTAAATAGCTAGCCTTGTCAGGATCACATCAAACCATACGTAGAGAGGAACGCGACAAAATGAGTGCATAGGAAATTTTCGGCAATAATTAGAATATTTTTAGGTTAAAAAATTATCCGTGTGGGAGATCCGGTTGATTTGAGATCACCTGATCAGAGACAGGTATTCCGAGGTTATCACTTATGATCAGAAGAGAGAGAGAATCTGATCCAGTGATTTTAGTTTTGATGGAAAACTTCAGGAAAACATTTGAATTTCGAGATACAAATTGCTTGATTCATATGTCTTAAAGCATTTTCGATAAATTGTGAACTATAAAACATTCAATTGATTTCTTCTCTTATTGAAAATAAAAAAACTTGATTGAGTACAGTTAGAAGACTTTATAATTTCATTTAATGATCTTTTAAAGTTATTTGTTCTATATATGCCTTGTCAAAGAACTATTTCTTTTATATAACTTATTTTTAACATATGTTCATAAACGGAATAATACAACAGTAAAATATATCAACTTCTATATCTCTTTAGTAAATACGTATTGGAGCTATTCTATCTTTTCGGATGTTGTTCAATGACAAATACGCTGGATTATGCTCCGTCTTCAACATCTTCGCGATCTTCACGAAATTATTCATAGATCTTTTTCAACTTTTCTAAGAGGTGAAGTCTAACTGCCGAAAATTAAATATATTGCAATACGGACTTAAATGCTAAAGCGAAAGTTTTCCTTACGTAACAAAATGAGAGTTGAACAGCTATGATTGAAATTCTAATATTGTTACAGTAAATGAAGAATGGTAAAATATTTTAACATGATAAAATACCATGTTGTTCTCGTGAACTATAACAACCCGCAAATCTTTTCAATCTATCTGTTAATCGACAACAACGTCGAATCAAGTTATTCTCAATTATTTATCTCTCGTTATTATATTCAAAATTCATATACGAATGGAATAGCAAAGGAAACCTATGTTCATTGTTCAATACCACCAATTGTTGTACAAAGTTTTTCTACAATAATAAGTCCATAAGAGAAACCTAATGAATAAACATTAGTAAATATTTATTTAAGAAGTATTAATTTAGCACAAGATATGGCTAAACATGGTTATTATAATATGATTAAAAAATCTAAACTTGTTGTACGACATACACAAACAATCGTTTTAATGAAACAATTATTTTCAACAAGGTTTAATAAACCTAATCATCGTCGTGTACATTGTTTCAGTTGTAAGAAAGTTTTTATTGGTTAGAAGAAGGTAAAAATTACTATAATTTTATGAATGCTTGTCTAATGAATTGAATTTCTTCTTATAACAGGTGATATTGTAGTTTTTGCAGAGTCGAGATTGTGTATTTCGAAGAAAAATATAGTAAATGTAAATTTTAAGTTGAGGCTTTGCGGCTCTTTCATCTCTTCATCGTAAGGAGAGTGAGAGAGGAGATCAGCATGCTTCAACTATGTTTCCATAGCAAATGAAGATCACAGACATTATAATTATTTCATAGAGTTCCTTAGAGATGTGTTATGTGAATTTTCCATTTTAGTCTTAAAGAGACTACACTGACAAGGTGAGAAAAAAAATAGTATACAAAAATAAATCATCGCAATTATTGAAATGAGATAGATCATTACTTGTGATGCTTTATATAAAATTCATTTAAGTTGACTGAGTATTCTTTCGATCAATATAGTCTGATTTTTATTTTCTAGGAAGAATGAAATCATCGGATTCTTAACAAACACAAACTTGTCAAGAATAGAAATCAAAAAAACAAATGCTTAACATCATTCAAAGCTATGAAGTTGGTAATTGTGGTAAAAGAATTCATAAAACATTCTGTCAGAATCTCATTGTACTATAATATGAGGTTTTTGCTTTAATATTGTTGTTTGTATATATGCGTAGTTTTTCTTTTTTTATTCAAAAACATTCTTCGTTCAGTAAAAAATAGCTTTTGAAAAATTTTCATAGTGATCTCTTATTGTAACAAGATTATTTACCAAATAGGGGTCACCCCTAGCTGAAACTAACATCTATCTATACACATCCATGATAGGACGTACAGATTACGACTTATAAATTTGAATGTTCAGATTTAGTCGTATTGATTTGAAGGTATTGAAAAGGATGTTAAGAGTATGTTAGAAATACATGTATTATAGTTTTGAAATATGTTTATCAAAACCCAATTGTAAAGAACAATGTTACTTCTACTTGAGATTTACCCAAGCTTTTTTTTCTCGGCCAAGACATACACGTGAATTGATCAAAGTAAGTGGAGTGTTTTTTTTTTATTATTTCCGGTCTCAACGATAAACTGGATAGACTTGAATTAAAATAATCAATCGATAATGTTCTTTAGAAATGAACTGATATATAACGATAGAGTTCTCATAATAATTAATATCATGTCTACTCAGTTTTCAACTTCAATCTTCCGATCGATATTTAATATTTGTAACTATACTAGCACGAAAAAGTGAACGTAATAAAGTGGAAATACTATTCGAAATAAATTTTTTTGTATACAATTGTAAATATGAGTATTACTTTTCAATAGACGTTTCAATGTCTTTACATCGCATTTTGAAATGGATGAGTTGCATGTAATTACTCTTGTATAGTATAAACAAAAAATATTTTATTTTCTTCTTCAATTTTCTTTTATCAAAAACAATTTATATCAACGGCAAATATTGATGAAAGTTTTCTGGACGAACAAATGATTCATCTAAATGAAGGCTTTTCAATTGATCGAAATTAAAATATGTTGGATCATTAGTAAAATTGTTTGTTATCATTATCAGTGATTTGTATTTGATGGAGAGATTCAGCAAACGAGGCAGATACATATTTTGTTTCAATAGAAATAATTTGACACAGTCAACATGTGTATATTCTAGAGCCAAATATGTCAGATAAGGAAATCTGATTAATGTTGATGAATGTTGATTGTCTTTTTGTGGATAATTATTATCTATATATAAGAATTCAAGAAAAGGAAAGTCTTGAGAGATGAGTTCGAAAAAGTTATGTTCAAATGGAATTCTATCATTCATTTTCAATAGTCGAACTTTTTTAAACATGCCACCTTGAAAAGAATTGTCGAGATCGACAAAATATTCAAAGTCGTATGGAAGTGAATAAATATGGCAAACACCATCGAATGGAACTGATTGAGTATAAGCATATGAAGTTACTCGTGGATATCTTCTTCCAATGAAACTACGTTGAATATCTTCGTTTGTTGGAAGTTCAAATCTAACGGTCTTAAACGAGACTTCTGTCTTAATATAAAATGTAAATTTCTTTAATTGTGTCATATAAATAAGAAATCGATCATATAATTGATAACCATCAATATAAGTCGAATCCAATCTTCTTACTAATAGATATAATTTTAATTCTTCAAGATTTATCATTCGACAAAGTAATGGAACAATTAGATTATCATATTCATATGTATGACCAAACGAGGTAAATGAAAAACATTTCAAATTGGGTAGTTTTTTCTAAGAAGAAAATAAAATTAAGAATATTTATTTATTTATTTCCTTTTCCATGTTTGTTTTCTCTAAATATGATCATTGAACTTATACTTACTGTTGTATCTATAGCTTGTAACATATCTGGATGATAAATACATAATACATTAATAATTAATGTTGATAAACAAACAAGAGGTCCATCAAGCAAACAAAGACATTCAGTTAAAGTTGGGACATTGATTTTTAATTTGGTTAAAGCAGAAGGCGTATAATTTTTACGTAATATATAAAGAGTTTGAATCAGACGCTTTCGTGTAGGAAACATATCACAAATATTCAAAACGATTAAGTTTTTACATAAAGATAAAATTAATTCAAAAATCTTTGAAACAGTTATTGAGCTTTGTTCTCTTGTCTTTTTCATATCAATATTAAGATGTCTTATTTGTTTACCAAGAAGATCACGAAGAATCAAATTATCTTTAAGTTGAAATAAAAACAAAGATGATTAGTAAGTTTTTATTATAATGAACAAAATAAAATACTACACCTGTTAAATATTCATAAAGCGTTTCTGCTTGAAAATTTATAAGTGACAATGAATATAGTTGAGGATAATTTGAAGCAAGAAGAATTTGTTTTATTGAATATTCTTCAACAGTGAGTTTATGTACGTGTGAATGAATTCCAGGTAAGATTTTTTTACAAATTCTTGAAAGAACTTTAGGATCTATTAAAGAAGTTTGATCATACAACGAATTGATGTTCATAATTGTTCTCATATTAAGATCATGAATATAAAGAGAATCAAATACTAATCGGTTAAATTGTTGATTTACATTCACAAGTGAATAAAAAACATCGACCATATTAAGTTTTTCAATAATGAGACATAAAATTTCATCGGGTAAATCAAGTATATTGAGACGATTGTTATTTAAATTGTTCATGTCTAACTCATACAATATTTTCATAGCAATCCTATATATATACAGTAAAACTTCTATATGTGAGCACCACCCTATACTACGCAGCCTCCGGTCCGCCCAAACGAATTTCGCTGGAAATGAGTCTCTGGAATATGAGCACCTCCTTATTCTGTTAGTGAGCGCCTTTTTATTGGTCCCATGAGCAACAACAATCTGTAATGTGAGCAATATTTATTCTATAACTCACACTTTCGACGAGAAAATGAATGATTTTATGTCGTCTGCTTTATTAAAAAAATAAAAGAGCACATACATGACCGACATAGACTGAACGGACGTATTAGAAGAGAAAAAAGGCTATTTTAAAAAAACTTAGTTTTGTACCGTACAAAAAGTTGTTACTTCAGAAAAGAGAAATTCACTTAAATAAATAAATTTTTTGAAAAGTAGAATAGGAACAATTCGTCTAATTGGAAAGCGTTTTCAAGTGATTATCTCAGTTTTTCACAAAAGAAATTGAAAACTTCCTCATAATGAGCACCTCAGTAAACTGAGCACTTTCGGCCGGTCCCAATAGTGCTCAGATTAGAGAAGTTTTACTGTATATATATATGTCAGCATTTTCTTACTTTCGCCTATAAGAATAATAACGAACAAATATTCGATACCGTCATGTTGTTCTATGATGAGCGTAAGAAACAGACTAGACTAATTGAAAATGAACTAACTAATAGAATTAGCATTTCTAGATAAAAACATGAATTATATTTCTTAATTCACTGTAAATTAGTTCAGTCCGTTTGATCGTCGAATAGATAGTGATATTTTTCATTCTGTCTAATATTTTCCGTTAGAGTTTCTTAAT